GACGAAGACGGACAGACAAAACACGGACGAAGACGGACAGACAAAACACGGACGAAGACGGACAGACAACACGGGCAGAAAAGAAAATGTAAAAAATTAGTCCTCCTGCATTATTTTTCCTTGAAGCAAAATCAACACAAATTAAATACTAAGGAAAAAATGACCCTTTTTACCTAGTGAAAAGAAGGAGAAAAAATATGATTACGCACCTCATTTCAGATAGGGCCGACATTTCTTGTATCTTTAGTGTCAGCACTTGAAAATTAAGTTTTTTATAATTAATCTCAACTCGACTTACAGTGGTCTATCTAATTTTATTATGATAATCTCTGGAACTTTCCATAGTTTTTTAGTAAATGTAAATTATTAGAACGGCAATTTTCGCAACATTTTCTTGTTTAATTTCAAAGAAATACATTCCATAAATTCAGGTTTGACTTCGTCTTTCTGTAAAAGAATTGATAAAAAGCTATACAGATTAGATTATTTAATTTCAAATTTATTTATAAGAATTGATATTAAAAATTCACTTAATGTTTACTACATATATCAATTTAATTAGATCCTGTCATAATTAGTGTCGCATTTTTATAATCAAATTTTCAGAATTAACACTTGAATTTATTGAGTCTTTTTCGATAATCCACATAAGGGAAATCAATGGTTGTCAAAAGAAATATGAGTTCCCATGACGCGAAGACCTCTACATTGAAAAAAGCATATTCTTTGTACTTTCCTTTTAATACCAACATAAAATTAAATCTTTATTGTAACCAACTCACTGTTTTAAATAATGTTGTCCAAGAAATGCGTGCGAATAGGCGGTGGGAAGGACCTGTACATTTTCAGCAAGAAAATGTCAGCGCAAACTCCCAATCACATTGGAGAGGTGCTTGGATGACATTTAATTTCACATCCGCTTATAGTCCGGACTTCGAACCATCGACTATCATTTTATTCTTTTTTTTATTTTTTGAGGGGTCAAAATTTCAATAATATGGAATAGATTCTATTTCGAATATGGAATAGAAAGTTGTGACATCGTTGGCAATCCGTTATTGATCTTCGTGGAAAATATTTTATTGTTTAATGATATTGGTAATAGTGTCGTTTCCAGTCCGCATTTTTCCTCCCCAATTTTTTACCCTATGTTTGTACGGAATGGTCAAATTTTCCCTTTTCTTCCATCAAATTGCCTTTCCATATTTTGCCTAAATACAATCAAAAAGATTAATTTGTGATATTTAAAAAAGTATTAGAGTAATGAGAAGAATCATTTTCCCAATTAATAAAAATGAAAGACTGTTGTTGTGAGACGAAAATATGAAAGAGGCAGACAACCATCAAAGAAAGATGTATGGATGATTGGGGGCGTTGAGAGAAATACAAAGAGAAACACCAAGCTTTTTGATTGTTTTTAGGCAAAATATGGAAAGGCAATTTGATGGAAGAAAAGGGAAAATTTGACCATTCCGTACAAACATAGGGTAAAAAATTGGGGAGGAAAAATGCGGACTGGAAACGACACTATTACCATGATATTTCTAATTGTTATTTTTAAATAACTATTTTAACAAAAAAGCGACACTAATTATGAACCGAACTTATAGAAGAAATAAACTTTACAGATTTTCATAAATAATTATAATAAATTACAAATATTTTCTTCGAAGATTGTCCAACAAAATCGGCAATTACTACAAGAAATTTGTGAGATGAAAGTGTTCATAAATATTTCGTTTATTAAAGACGAAGAGAATTCGCTTTTTTGGGCAAAATAGTTTTTTGAAAATTGAATAACATCATAACTATTTGTATAATTCTGTAATATAGGCCTGGGATAAAATATCTAAGATTGTTTTAGATTTAAAGATTTTTTAGATCAAACTGTATCGACGTCCTGGGAAAGAATAAAGATAAAGTCTGCCTGAAATTGGCAGGAATCTTTAGGGCATTGACCATCGTAATGTATATTTATGTATTCCTTCATGAAATTCTGAAATAAAATTGCTAATTTTAGTACTATGACTAATAATATTAGGTTGTGTCATAAATAATTATTAATTAAATATTTATTAAAATCCAACTAAATGTTTTCTCTCCATTCCTTTACAATTTAGAAAATTTAATAAACTCGCCTTCAAAGGAGTAATATACTTAATCCTTCATAGCATTGTTAAGAACATAACATTTTGGGTCAAATAGTTGATTATAGTTGCAGGCAATAATTACCTTCAAAAATAGATATTGAAATCATAAAAATTTTCAAATCAAAAATATCAAAATTAAAGATGCCGGTTCGAACCAAATTCCCGGATATCCGGAACTGAACCGAAAATTTTTAGAGAAGGGCAGTCCATCGGAATTTTGTCTCGACGAAAAAGGAATGATTTTAAGTACTAGAGATCGGCCTTGGTTTAGACATTGATTTTCAAGGATCGAGAGTCAAAGGCACATTTTTCAGTGTTCCTTGACTTTTTCTTAGCTAATGATAAATAATCTGGTAAGGGTCCTGTTACGTCCTAGGGTAGCGGTCTTACCTAGTGACAAACAGACTAACACAAGAATAGAATATTACGTTTATCCGAATGGCAAATACAACAATAGCGAAGGTGGGGCTGTTCTTTAGTATAGCTACACCGAGATCGAGACTTGAAGTATATACCATTCGATTCATCTCGCAGAGCTGAGTTCAAATATGCAAGAATTTTCTGCGGGAGACGAAAACTCGCAGAGATACAGGCCCTCGAAAATTGAAAAACCATAGGGGGGAGTAAGCTGATTTTTGGGGTCAAAAATTCGAATATGCAAATAATAGCTCATTCGAAAGAGCTCGTCGAGCTGAGTCGAATGACACCAAAATCAACGAAATCAGACTTGATTGGACAAAGTTATGATCTTTTATTTTAGCTCCTTACCTATGAGATCTGTGGAGATTTTTGCTGCTACGAGGCCCCAAATACGTCCAGAGCAAGGGAGATAGGTATAGGTTTATGTTACGAGCCCAGACCCAGCGCCCGTAGACTCCCCGCGAGGCGCGTGCCGCAAAACCCCGCGCGAAGCGCGGGGTTTTGCACAAGCGCCTTGCCGACGCCCCATAGGTTTAGGTTTTTTTGTATCATAACTTTGTCTAATCTTGTTCAATCACGGTGATTTTGGTGTCATTTGACTCAGCTCAGCGAGCTCTTTCGAATGAGTTATTATTTGTATAAAAAAATTTTTATTCTAAAAATCGCCCCTTTGGATCTTCGATTTTTAGGAGTCTATATCTCGGTTCAATCAAGTCGGATTTCGTTGATTTTGGTGTCATTCGACTAAGCTCGACGAGCTCTTTCGAATGAGCTATCATTTGCATATTCGAATTTTTGACCCCAAAAATCAGCTTACTCCCCCCTATGGTTTTTCAATTTTCGGGGGCCTGTATCTCTGCGAGTTTTCGTCTCCCGCAGAAAATTCTTGCATATTTGAACTCAGCTCGTCGAGACGAATCGAATGGTATATATTATGAGTTCCGATCTCGGTGTAGCTATACTAAAGCGACCCCGAAGGCGGCAAAAGGCAAGAATGAATAATGACAGACGGTGCCGGTCGAACCAGGTGTCGACCAAGACTGATCGCTAACGACTCCTTTTATAGACCCACACATACCTAACATGTCCTCAACCGAAATCAAGGGCTAAATAAAAATAAATAAAAATACCGTATTTTCTTTAATAGGAAAACGCATTTCTTAAAATTTATTTAAATCTTTTCAGAACAAAAAATGATTTGTCGTTTTTTTAAACTATAGATTTTTAGAGATTTTCTTGTAATTTAGAAATATTAGACATTTAGGAATTTTGTAAATATTTTAAAACAAATTCAGAGAGTTTCAAGTTTTTTGGAAAAATTATTATATTTAAATAACATTAGTCGGAAACCAGCAATGCAGCAGGGTCGAGTATGTCTTATGCTTTTCCTTTTTTAAAAAAAAGAACATATTCCACCCGGCTGCATTGCTGAGACGACAAATCAATTAAAGAAAATATTAAAATTAAAAATTTTAGAATGAATGGAGAGAATTATTTAATTAAAGTTGACGACCCGGCTCGAAAGATCGAATCGGGCATCGAATTTTGGACAAAAAAAAAGACTAAATTGGTTACGGTCAAATTTGCCCAGCCAAATTTGCTGTCTGCTGTTGTCTATTAAAAGCCGATTCCCTTGCTCTTACTTTACTTTTTTTGTCTATTATGAATAGTTAGAGAACATTTAGACCGAAAAAACTCATTTTTAAAGTAAAAGCATTTAAATGAAATAGGAAACTGTGTGGTCTATGAAGATGAAATTATTTATTATTCTCACTTTGCTTTTTGAATAATTTTTTATAGTTTTTACGTTCGTGTCTGGCAGCTATTATTAGGTAAACAAAATTAGCATTCAAACATCCTGACTAGATTGGGCTGGGAGCGTCGTACAGGAATCAAGATCTCGAAAAAATCTCGAAATCGATAAACGAGACTTTTTGACCGAGATCTCGTCTCGGTCCACTCATTAATTTTAACCCAAATAAATTAACTGACCGCTCAATTAAAGAATTGAGTTGTTCATTTTGATCAATCGAAAATATACACGGAAGAAGGCATCAGCACCCAAATGGTAAAGATAATTATCAGGAAATAAAACTATGTAAAAATCCCTGAATTAAATTGTGTTGGTCAATTGATGAAAATAATTTTTTTGAAATTTAATTTAAAAAAATACTAAAATAATAAAAATAATATTTTGTCAAAAAATTTAGGTAGCCCAGTAACTCGATGTTTCAGAATGTCGAGCAGGACATCATCCCGTAGAGATTTAATTTTAAGGTTGGGGCATTTACTAAAATATAGTAAATAGACAACGCTAGATATTTATAAATTAATTTTTACTCAAAAATTTTGTTGAAAACAAATGAAAAAAATTAAAAAGAAAAATTTATTTGCTCAAATTGTACAATAAAAAATAAAAAATTTTCAAAATTATTTTAACAAATTACTCCCAAAAGCATTTAAAATGTATCTCACTAATTCAAAATCCTTACTCATTACTGTTTTTCGCCCACAATGAATAGCTGCCACATTTGCGCATTGAAAGAAAGATCTTGAAAAATCCTCTGACGACTTAAAATTGATAAAATAAATATTTAAAAAAAGTAAAAAAAAAGCCCTTATTATTATATAATTATAACCCCCCTCCGAAATGGGAGGGGGCCGAGGGGGGGGGGGTTATAGTATATAAAATTTCAAAAAAATTTTTGAAAAATGAAAATTTCAACATTTTGGCCAAAAAACAAAAATTTTGGTCACGGTCTTAACAACCCAAGAAACGTCCAAATCATCCAATATCCGGTTTCCGTACCAGGAAAAATTAACAAAGGTTCGAAATTTTTGGAATTTTTACATTTCCCTATCCGATCGATTAAAATAATATCGACTCATAAACTTTTTAGTGAACATATAAATTTTGATTAGACACATAAACTAAACCATATACTTATTTTTTTAAAGATCAGAATATCTTTTTGAATTGGTCGTTCCGTGATTACATTACCCAAAAAATTAAATTCCAAACTTAATAAATCTAAACAAACCTCTATTAAAGCATCTACAGCAGACTCATTCAAGTTTAACTTATTTCTTGTTTGTTGTTGAACAATTTCTTTAAACAAATTTTTATATGCTGCTGTTGGCACACTCTTCTTGGGAGTTTTCTGGAATTTCCTGTTCTTGGCCAGCATACTAAATTTTTAAAATAAAAAAATTTTAACAATAAAATTACTTTTTGTTGGGCCGTGTATATTTCTTTTTTAAAGTTGAAGTTGTTGAAAGGGTACTATAAAAATTAAAATTAAAAAAAAAGTCGTATAATAAGAGAGAGATAAAAAAAAGTTTAGTTTCGGGTAGGCATCGAGCTTTCGACCTTCTGGCAGTACCAAGCTTCTCCTCTCTATTATAACGGTGTGCGGACATATCGGGACGGACATATCGAGATTGGGGTGACAAAAATTTCTTGCGTGTTTACATTTGTTCTAAAACTTAAAACCTCTATTCCGCAACAGGACAATATACTATCCTAGATCCAGTGGTAACTGTTCGTTTGTAGGGTAACTGTTTGTACCTTGAAATATCCCAATATGTCCGTCCCGAATGTCCGCGTGCCATTATAAACCCTAAGCCAGCCACCGATCTAATATCGGATTAGATTTATTTATGGGAATTAAGAGGAAAAAAGTGAGTTCAAAAAAGTCCGAGTTTGGATAACCCGAAGCATCACTGATACCCACAGAATCCCTTGACTATAAGAGAAAAAGGGAAAATGGTCAAGTAAAGTTGCGGACAAAATTTGCGGACTTTTCCCATTATAGCCGAAAAGAAGCTTAACCCATAACCTTTCAAGGGGAATTTGGGGGAAAATTATTAAAATTAAATTAAAAAACCTCAAATTCAAAAAATTTTCCTTATCATCATCTTGTCTTGCCCCAAAAACATTTTCAATTTTTCCAGTTGGAGAGAATAAAGGAAGAGTATTTAAAAAGAATTTGGAATCATCATTTGTAATTTCATCAAAAAAAGAAGATTTTTCTTGTTGGTGTTTGTTTGCCATTTTGAAAATTTTTGAAAAAAAGAAAAAAAATTTTTGTGACTAAAAAATAAAAAAATTTAAAATTAAAAAAAAGGTAAAAAAAATAAATGTATTAAAAACAATTTTTAAAAAAATTATTAAAATTAAAAAAATGTTGAAGTATTTATCGAAAAAAAATTTTATTTTAATAGAAAAAAGCAAAATCAAAATTTAAATGACAAAAAAATACAAAGTCTCAAATTAACGCCGTTTTATTGATTTTTTAAAAAGGGGAGAAGAAAACGAGGGAAGAAATATTTGGTAGCTTTTACACCCATCTTTCTTTCTCTTCTTGTTTAATATATTTAGGCAAAAATTAGAAAAATTTGAAAGAAAAGATTAGGCTAAATTTAAAAAGAGAAAAAACTTTTTGAAATAGACCCAATGTTTAAATAGAGTTCATTCATCGCCAAGGAAAGCGGGGAATACATGTCAGGAATGTCACGGATTGGGAAGAAAAGGTCCGGGGGTCGGGTTGGGTATTCAAAACTTTTTTCGGATCTGTCTCGGGTCAAAAAAGAAGTCAGACGTTCGGGTCCCAGATCGAAAAAACTTCGAGCTGCTGAGGATTAAGAAGAAAGTCGGGTCGGGGATTCGAAAATTTTCTCGGACTTAGTATTTAATTTGAATCTAAAATTCGTCCGGTTAGTTCGGAAAACCCTTGACATCCCTAATGCTGGTCAATACTGAAAATATCACCCCCAAAAAAATTTCTTTCTGATTTATAAACACACAAAAGGCCATTTTTTCTCACTTTTATTAGTCAAGTCTAAAACAGTTAAGAGGTAAAAATAAATTCCAAAACTATTAAAGTTACTTTAAAAAAACTTTTTTTTCTTGTTTGTTGAATGAGAATAATATATTGATGTTGTATTTGGTGGTAATTAGAATATCTGAATTAAAATTGTCTAACTTGGATAAAATTCTTAAAATTAACCTTAGAAAAAATATACACACACAAGAAAGCCTCCCTCTCCTCACTTTTCTCCAACTATCAATATAAATCAGAATCATCTGTTGATTGTTTACGTTTTCTTCCACCACAAGAAGAATCTGAGGATGAGGCTGTAATTTGATCAGAATGCGTAATTTGAGGTGATTTTGAAGAGTTTGATGACTAAATTATGTAAAAATTAGAATTTTAAGAAAACAAAAAAATCATCTACAAGATTGAATCGAAAATTTTTTTAAAGAAAAACATTATCAAATAGACCAGAAAAATCGTATCTTATAACGGGGTATATCTTAAATTGAGGGTATCACTGATAACCTAATTTTTCCTCCTTTCCCCCATTTCTGGGGGGGGGCTCACTCTAGCCACCCCCCCCAGTCCCCCTGGAAACGTCCTTGCTAATAAGGTACTCTTATTGTATGTATCTTATAATTAGGGCCTCACCCAAAGAGTGGCCAACTAAATATTAAAAATAGTATCTTAAACTGGAGTGTATCTTATAAAAAAGTTAGCTTATAGTGAGGTGGTCCTATAATGAACACTGTGGCATACCATCACTTAAGAGTAGCCTAAACTGATGTGAGGTGTGTCTACTATTGGGTGTATCTTATAATTAGGTGTCAAATTGAAAGCACATTATAATAAGGTTATCTTAAAGTAACTGAATAGAAAAAATTCAAGCTTAAAAAATAAAAAAAACCAAACCTTTTCTCTATGCAATAAAAGTGGATGCTTCGGTCCTAATAAGGCCATTTGTTTAAATTCTTGATCGCGTGCTTCAAATGTTGGATAACGTGACAAAAAGGAAGTTACTAAAAAAATTAAAGTTCATAAAATAAAATTTTTTTTGAAAAGTAGACACTTTGACATTTTCAAAAAAAAATTTTCAACTCAACCCACAATTCTCGAGAAAAGACACAACATCAGGCGCTGTCAGCTTCAAAACTTCTTCTCCCGTCCGTGGATCAATAATAAACAAAGCTGGATAAGTATCAAAATGATAGTAGCATTTGACTCGCACTCCGTCAGAAGAATCGTGATAAACCCAAAATTAAAAAATTAAATTTAAAAAAATTATTTTTAAAAGATAAACCTGCCAAAAAATAAAATTTGAGCGAACAACATCCTTTACAGTCTCTGCTGACCAAATATCGCGGTTAAGAACTTTGAAAAAATATTTTATAGAAATTAAAAAAAAGAGAAAACCTGCACATGCAAATTCAAGTGAATTTTGGACATTTACAAGAAGCCAACGATGACTTTGTTTAGCCGTTTGAAGGGCCTAAATTTTATTTTTAATTTATTTAATGGGGAAAATTTTTTTGTAAAAATTTGGACATAGTTGGGGACAGGTGGACATAGTTTGGGATTGGAAAAAAAGATCAAACTTATCCTAGTCTTTCAATTGCTAGTTCAAAATCGAGTCTAAAACATAATCAGGGGTGGAAAATTTCTTTTGAAAAACATTTGACAAGAAATTCGGACTAAAATCATGATTATCGTCTCATATCAGTTCCAAAATCTAATAGCAATACGCTCTAAAATCAAGGGGTATCACGTGAACTTTGACGTATTGTACTCATGAATAGGGCTGTAGGTTCTGGACCGAACCGACCCTAAACGAAGAACCGAGGATTTTTCTGTTCAGTACGTCGGTTCGGTTTCGGATATCCGAGAATTTTTCAGGAACCGACAACCCTACTCGTGTAAGTCCAAATATTTTTAGAGTTGTGAGGTTAACTCTTTTCACCAAATAACTGATATGTACCCCAACTCTTCAAAAATTTTAGAAAGAAATCCCAAAAAAAAATTTTTTTCTCAATTATAAAATCAAATTTAAACCTTATCCCAATCTCCATAAAAAATTAAATCTGTTGGTGGTCGAAATAAAAGACGCAAATCTTTCCGCTTTTTAAGTCCTTGTCCAAAGCCGCCAGTTGTTGCTGTTGTTGAAGATTCTTCTTTTGTCCGGTCATTACCCACGATTGACTTCTCTTTATTATTATCATGTTGTTTTCCATTTTCTGCTTCCAATGTTCGATGATGAAGTTTAATTTTCTATAAAATTTATTTTTTATTGGTTGACTATTTTTATGGAGAAAGGAAATGGAGAAAAATGAAATAAAAGTCCTTTCTCTTTATGGAGAAAGGCTATTGGTGAACGGTTAATATTCACCAGTATCAACTCAAATGGTGAATCTTACGAATATTTGAGACGCTACTGGCGCGAATTAACCGGTGGCCAACAACGCTATTATTTTTGGAAAGATGAGAAAATGAATTCTCTGACACAAAAAAAACCCCAGCAAGCCAGCAATGACCAGGACCAAGAGGGGGATTTAGAGAAACTTGGAATTCTTAATTAGGAAATTTTCAATAATAACGAAAAAATAGAAATCAGTCCATCAATGCCCTAAAATTGGAAAAAACACCATAAAATTAAACCAGGGATGCCATTGGTAGAGAAAAGTCAGGTAGGATGTTTGATCGGTTTTTCGAAAATTTCTTTGATCGCCCCATGTCTCCAGCACACACTTGGACCAAGGTTTCCAAGGGTAGAGAAAAAAAGTCATGTAGGAGTTCGGAACGGTTATTCGAAAATTTCTCCGATCGGAGTTCGTATCAAAAATTTGTTCGGATTTCGAGTACCATATTCGTATCCCGTGACATCAGTTACTTAAACCCTTCCTTATACATATTCCGATTTTTTTTGAAAAAATTAAAAACCTTAAAACTATTCGTTGGCGGAGAAAATCCTCCTTTTTGTTTAAATTTTTCTTGTATTGAGGAACTCGAGGTTGCAGCTGATTCTTCCATTACTTCCTCGACAGTTTCAGAAGACTTTTCATTTGGTTGCAAATTGCGATATTGTTCAAAAACTGAATGAGACGTTGTTGGACGAACACTGCCATTTTCTGTAAAATTTGAAAAATATTTTTTCGATTGATTTTTTTGTGGAATCTTAAAAACTGTTAAATAACTACAATTATCCAAAAAAGGTAATAATCTCACAACCATTATGCCCTAATACAAAAACCCTTACTGGGAAGGTTGCGAGGTGTCCGAGCTAAAAACGGTCGAGACCGGGCTCATTCGATAGAGAATGTGCCCTTTCTAGCAAGGATTTTTTGCCGTTTTTGCCCGTTTTTTGATCTGGCCAAGATATGGCCCGCCAAAGTCCCAAAATTTGGCATAATTTTTCCCCCTTAAATATAAACATTAAATAATGGGTTAATTTTGTTGGCGTGGTGGTGTAGTGGTGAGTGTGCTTGACTTACCCTTTTTCTCTAAAAAGTTCGATTCTTTTTTGGGTTTTATTTATTTATCTAATTGTTTTAACCATTATTTATTCTTTTTTTCAACAAAAAAAATTTTTTTTGGTTGGAAAAAATTTTTTTTTATTTTTTAAAAATTTTCAAAAATTAAAAAAAATTTTTAAACCGGGGAATCTTCTTTTCTCCTGTGTGGAGAGGAGAAGATTCCACGCGAGAATTCGATCATCCGATCCGTTATTGTTTTCCAATATCGTTCCCTTTTGGATGTAATACACCTAATTGTTAGGAATCTAATTTTATTCGATGTGCCAGCTGTAACAACTTCATCTCCAATTTTTGAAAATTTTTAAAAAATAAAAAAATTTTTTTCCAACCAAAAAAAATTTTTTTTGTTGAAAAAAAGAATAAATAATGGTTAAAACAATTAGATAAATAAATAAAACCCAAAAAAGAATCGAACTTTTTAGAGAAAAAGGGTAAGTCAAGCACACTCACCACTACACCACCACGCCAACAAAATTAACCCATTATTTAATGTTTATATTTAAGGGGGAAAAATTATGCCAAATTTTGGGACTTTGGCGGGCCATATCTTGGCCAGATCAAAAAACGGGCAAAAACGGCAAAAAATCCTTGCTAGAAAGGGCACATTCTCTATCGAATGAGCCCGGTCTCGACCGTTTTTAGCTCGGACACCTCGCAACCTTCCCTAGTTAATAGAAAACATCCATTTCAGTTTGGCGTATAGGCGGCTTTTGAGGGTTTGTTATTCCGAAATTTTGCCGTTATGGGCGCACACTCACCCACCGATTTTAAGAGAATAATAGGCTCGTAAAAATTAAAAAAAAACTTTTAAATATGAAAGCTTAAGATTTTTTAATTTTAAAAAATAAACCATAAGTTTGACGATAACTTTGAGCCAACATAACACCTTTAACTGCAGGAATTGGGGCACGAATATTGTCTTCTGAATTATCCTTTTTATCTTCTTTTTTGTTTTCAGCTGTTTGGTTCTTAAAAAAATTTTTTAAATTACATTTTCGGACAATGCGGACAAAATAAAACTTTAAATCCGGGTAATTCCAAGTTATATCACAAGATCCTAATCTTTTCCATAGTCAGACTTTCTTCCTTAATTCCATTCAATTTCCCTATGGCATTCAATCTATCAATGAGGAAATAAAAAAATTAATCTTTTCTGAAATGGCATACGCCAATATTTGCGGACAGGGATTATTAACATAAAGTACGCCAAGTACATCATAATTAAAGAAACACAAAACCGGTTAACCGCCCGGTTAATTTTTAGGGTTTCGCCGGAACCGAAATTTTGACCGGAACCGGAACCGGAACCGGATCCAATTTGAGTTCCGGTTCCCGGAACCGGAACCGGAACTTTTCAAAGTTCCGGCCCGGAACCGGAACTTTTAAAAAAATTTTTGCTAGCAAATTTTTAAAAATTTGTAGTTTAAGTAGGGTTGTCTGTTCACCAACTTCTTCGGTTAACCGAAACCGAACCTAACCGAGACTTTTGATTAACCAAAACTGAACCGAAAATTTGTCGGCAATAAGTGATATACATATTTGGGTTAGAGAGTGGTGTATAACGGATTTGGTGGTATAAATGTTTGATATCGGACGATATAAGGAATCAGAATTGTAAAGGGGTCCACATCAAAATCCACATTAATCCATCCAAATAATCCGTTATACCATTCAACTTTCTTTTTCAGCGCCGCAGGCGAAAATTTTGAAAATTTAAGAAGGCTGTAAGCAAAAAAATCATACGAAATATTTTAAGAATTTTAGAGGGCCAAAAAACCTTAATTACTCCATGTAAAAATAAAATAATTTTTAAAACAAAATTAAACTAATAAAATGATTTATTTATTGAAAGAAAAATTTGAATATCTATTGTCCTACGATTGGGAATCGAACCCAACTTAAAATCATTAACACATTGAGTGAAGCCCAAACCCTTAACCACTCGGACACACGCTCATCAGAAATCTACTGAAAGAAAATAAACATATTTCTTTCGATTTTTTTATTACAAGTATAAGAGTACTAGTATTTTATTAATATTTTTTAAAAAAAACTAATCCTTAGGGGTGTAAAAAAGTTCCGGTTTGGCCGGAACCGATTTGTAAACCGGAGCCGGAACCGGAACCAATTTGAGTTCCGGTTCCCGGAACCGGAACCGGAACCAAAAAAACACCGGAACTTCCGGAACCGGAACCGGAACTTCCGGCGAAACCCTATTAATTTCTCCTTGTGGCAGGTCAAATAGAAAGAATAAGAGGAGCACACGCGTGCCGCAGGGAAAGATTAACCGGGTGGTTAAACGGTTTTGTGCTCCAATAATCATAATTGTCCCCAGTTTACAATGCCACAGGAAAAATAAAATGAAATTGAGAAAGTCTACCCATTATGGACATTTTAAGGAAAAAGCGCCTCAGGGAAGAAACTTAGAATTAACTTATTCCTTCATAAAATTGAATATTCTAAAGACAAAACTAACTGCTTTAGTTAACCCAGTGGATTTTTACTATCAAAAATTTGGGACACGCCCAAGTAGGCGCGCGGCCAAGTAGGCGCAAAGCCATAACTACTTGGAAAATTTCTGGACCTTAATACTTTTAGTACCATTCTCTTTAGTTCGATAGTGGAATCGTTTAATACTAAATTTCGAAAGATTTAAAAATTCTGAAGCAAGTTATGGCTTTGCGCCTACTTGGCCGCACGCCTTGGGCTGTACCCCAAAAATTTAAACAAAAAACCTTTTCCATATTTTTGTTTCTCTTCACAAAATGCGAAATTCGTCTTTTCGGTTCAAAGGAAGGCTGAATTGGTTGAATTTCATCATCTTCATCCACAATAATATCTTCATCATCACTGTCATCGCTTTTTTGTTGTCGTTCTGGAGGAGGAGCGCCTCTCATAAAGAAAATATTTATGGCACGTTGAACATCCCAATTGTTCATTAAAAGAAGACGGCGAGCTGTTGAGTCATCCTGATTGCCTTGAAAAAAGAAAGTTTTACAGGAACGGTGCCCAAATGTTAATTTATTCCCTATAACATGTCTTGTTGGATTACCCAAAACCCCGAGACCTTCCTTCGGCCCGAAATATACTCTGAAGAAAATTTTAAAAAATCCGACAAGAAACATGTCTGATAGATAAATTTTGAGTTTTTCCCCGCCCCTAATCTTGTTATTTTTTATTGATTTCTTACTAGAGATCGGCCTGGGTCTGGACCAAGGCCTGGGTTTTTCCTGTACCCAGAGTACAGGACCAGGCATTTTTTAACCTTCTTGGGGGGTTTTCCTGGGCCTGGGTTTTGAATGGACTACAGGCCCAGGATCCGGACCAGGTCAATAAATCAAACCTAGAACCCAGGAACAGGCTTTTCAAAATTTCCTATCTCTATTTACTACAAAAATTATTTCAATCTAAAAGGAACAGATCGATGAAAAGAATCATTTTTAGTTTTTTACTAGCATTGTATCCTTTGTTATGAAAATAGTGACAATAAGGAGATTCAAAGAAGGCCGTGAGACTCGGAATTAAATTCAGCTTTTACCCTCAACGTGACCCATCCACGGTAGAGAAATCTTGGACATATCGAAAGTCGATTCCCCCTCGCACCCAAGACAAGACATAAATCACCAAAATTCCCCAAAAAAATTAAAAAAAAACCTGTAAATTCCCTAAAAGATTGTATAGCTTGTCTATGTTTTTGTTCTTCACCTTCATCCATTATTTGCTTTTTATAAAAATTTGTTTAATAATATATTGAAAATTAATTGATTTTAAAGGTGTTTTTGTAGTGGAATTAAAATAAAGTCTAGAAAATGTTTAAGATAGAAAATTAAAAATAATTTGTTTTGTTTTTACAACAATAACAAAATAAATGTATTTAAATAAAAAAAATAAAAATTTTTATTAAAAAAAAATTAATAATGAATAATGCCAAATTTCCCCAAATTTTGTATTTTTGCAAACAGCAACTAAATCGGTCAAAGGAGATCAATCAGAAGATAAAGACCCAGAAGGTCTTGACATTTATGAGAAGGACATGGGAAGGAAATTCCCTCTTGTGCAACTGGCAGATAAGGTAAAAGGAGAGAGGCAAACGTATTCTTGATATTGATTAACCTTTATCCACTTAAATATTTTAATTTGACCTTCTAAGTAATTTAACCAATTGTCAACAATATCCCCTAAAAATTAAAAAAACCTGTAAATTCCCTAAATGCTTAAATGTTTTTTAAATTCCCTAAATGTTTTTCCCATGTCCTTGAACTTCTGGGTTCTGACTATGTCTGATATTTTATTAAATACTGCAAGATAGGCTTCAAGTTTATTATATACATTGGATTTTCGCGCTGAACAGGGGAAAATTACCTCATACGAGGCTGAGGAATGGCGGATGAGGAGGCAGCAAATGCTCTCTATGAATTAGATATGTTGGAGTGGGATGGTGCAGACCTGCCGGTTCATCATCTCCGCTTTAGGGGTCTCCAAAGGGCAGCAACAAGTCTAACACACTTGCAGGAGTTTATGTTTGAAGAGCGGCTTCGTCAAGACGTTCGTGGATGGTCGTCGGAATAAATTAGTTGGCTTTCACAGTATAATTTTAAGTTTTAAAACTGATCCAAGTTTATTTAAATTGCTTATAATTTTTCAGAATTTAATTACAAATTAAATCAGAATTTTAAAACTTAAAATTATACTGTAAAAACCAACCAATTTAATCGGAAGCCCAACCCCGATCATATTCGTCTTGAAGGTTTTGATCAAACAAACGCTCGTGTAACCGTGTTAAGCTATTTGCTACACGTCGCAAACCCTGAAAGCGAGCGTAGTGGATAGGTTGTGCTTCTCCGCTCTCTTCCAGCCAATCCTGTTCATAAGCGGCATTCACCGCCTTCTCATCCGCAATTCTTGATCTCCACCAAGGCTGTAGTTCAAAAAATTTTTTAAAATTCTCAATTTTATAAGATTAAGGGAAATCAGAATTAATTAAATTCAGAAAAATCAAACTTAAAATTCAGTTAAATTTTTTAAATTTCCCTAATCTTATAAAATTGAGAATTTTAAAAAATTTTTTGAACTACAGCCTTGGTGGAGATCAAGAATTGCGGATGAGAAGGCGGTGAATGCCGCTTATGAACAGGATTGGCTGGAAGAGAGCGGAGAAGCACAACCTATCCACTACGCTCGCTTTCAGGGTTTGCGACGTGTAGCAAATAGCTTAACACGGTTACACGAGCGTTTGTTTGATCAAAACCTTCAAGACGAATATGATCGGGGTTGGGCTTCCGATTAAATTGGTTGGTTTTTACAGTATAATTTTAAGTTTTAAAATTCTGATTTAATTTGTAATTAAATTCTGAAAAATTATAAGCAATTTAAATAAACTTGGATCAGTTTTAAAACTTAAAATTATACTGTGAAAGCCAACTAATTTATTCCGACGACCATCCACGAACGTCTTGACGAAGCCGCTCTTCAAACATAAACTCCTGCAAGTGTGTTAGACTTGTTGCTGCCCTTTGGAGACCCCTAAAGCGGAGATGATGAACCGGCAGGTCTGCACCATCCCACTCCAACATATCTAATTCATAGAGAGCATTTGCTGCCTCCTCATCCGCCATTCCTCAGCCTCGTATGAGGTAATTGTCCCCTGTTCAGCGCGAAAATCCGATGTATATAATAAACTTGAAGCCTATCTTGCAGTATTTAATAAAATATCAGACATAGTCAGAACCCAGAAGTTCAAGGACATGGGAAAAACATTTAGGGAATTTAAAAAACATTTAAGCATTTAGGGAATTTACAGGTTTTTTTAATTTTTAGGGGATATTGATACTATTGGTCAAATTCACCAGAAGGTCAAATCCAAATATTTGGGTGGATAAAGGTTAAGATACGTTTGCTTCCTTTTGTCTTATCCGCCAGTTGCACAAGAGGGTTTGTCGAGGTAAAGCCCTTTGCCAAAAAATCGACGTAGTTCCGGGGGTTGGGTTGCTATCCTAATTTAAACATCCGAGAGAATGTTAAAATATCCAAAAAAGGGGAAATTTGTAAAAAAAAACTTTTAAATATGCAGAACTGAATAATCAATTAACATCGGCCAAAAACAACTGCATCCAGAGAAGATAAAGAGGTTTTTAGACTGTCCATTTGAGACACCTATTAATTAATAAATTTAAAAAATAATTTAACTAGAAAAAAAACCTCGTATCAACGTGTGTATCCCTACAAGGAATTGAACAAAAATGAGCACCACATTTAACACAAGTATAACACGATTTTAGGCCACAAACAGCACAAAACTTGCGTGGAGGTAACAAGCTGGGAGGGGCAGTAATCTAAAAAGGAACGGGGAAAATAAAAATATGAACCGCTCTGAGTCATTCAATAAACCTGTGTATAAGTCAAAAAAGGCGGAACTGATGAAGCTATTGATGTTGATCCAGAAATTTGAGAAGTTGAAGGTGTTGTGGAGGACGTAGAAGCTTTGTCCTCTTCCCATTTTTTCTGGAAAAATTTTTGGATTAGATTTAAATAAAATTTTAAACAAAGAAAGACGCTAGACTTTGTGGCCTCGACCCCGACCCTTTTCAAATAATGCACCCGGCTTAGGGAGGCGGCTCCAGAGCTAGCTCAAGAAGCATACCCCAAGCACTGCCGGATACTTAAAACCCCAAGAACAAACTCTCCGATCATTCGCAAGGAAAATTAACTACTTAACGGTTATCTCCTAACCTTGTTTCAGACTCCAAGAGCGTATCAGGAGTAGGGTTTAGGGCCTGATCCGGCCCAAAAGATCGAGTCGGGCATTGAATTTTGGCCCGAAAGACTCGGTCGGGCCGTCCCAAAAAACTGACTCGAACGTCGACCCAACTCGAAAACCCCAACCCTAATCAGGAGTCAGATCTCAGTGTAAATTCTCGAAAATCGGAAATTCCAGAGTTTTGGGAAACCCCCGAGCGTTTCATGCTCGGAATTACAACCCCCTTTAAGACAAAAACAAACGAATAAAAAGCTAAATAAGAAACCTCAGACTCGATAAACAATTGAGTAAAGGTTTTCCTAAACCTCGTCTTCGTCAACGACGCAACCAATTTCTTTCCTTTTTTAGCTAAAATTTAAAAATTAAACTTTGAGAAAAATTTTCCCTAAACAAACTAGCATGTTCTGGAGCACTTATTTTACTTGGAGGATCATTACTTTTCTTCTTCCGTTTTTTGGTTTCGTCAGAACGAGAGAAAATTAGTTCGTCATCAAATTTTGGGGCAGATTTGTTCCAAACAATATTTGCATGTGGGTCGTCTTGAAAGTTGTCCTGAAACGAAAATAAGAAATTTAAGCTAGGGAAATGATGGCTAAACTACAGTTTCCGTACCAGACTCAGAATTGGACGATTTATATGTCATTCGAAAGAGCTCGTCGAGCTGAGTCGAATGACACCAAAATTTTTCAGCGGAAAAAATTCTGAGCCGAGTTACAGACCCCTAAAGTTCAAAAAACCATAGGGGGGACCAAGCTGTTTTCTGGGGGCGAAAAATTCGAATATGCAAATTATACCTCATTCGAAAGAGCTCATCGAGCTGACTCGTATGACACCAAAATCAACGAAATCCGACTTGATTTGACAAAGTTATGACCGTTTGTTTTAGCCCCTTCCACAAGAGTTTCGCGGAAAAAAGTTTTTGCCGCTGCGGAGGAAGCCGGGCATGTCGAGCGGAACGACGGCCGCCGCTTCGCTACGGTCGCCGCGAGCGCAGCGAGCACGACCGCAGCGAAGCACGGCCATCGTGTAGCGAAGACCATGCCCGGCCTACCCTCCGTAGCAGCACAAAAACAGTTTTTCCAGCGAAGATTCTGTTGGTCATAACTTTCTTCAAAATCATCCAATCGAGCTGATTTTGGTGTCATTCAACTCAGCTCGTCGAGCTCTTTCGAATGAGGTATCATTTGTATAATCGAATTTTTGACCCCAAAAATCAGCTTGGTCCCCTCTATGGTTTTTCGATTTTCGGGGGCCTGTAACTCGGCTCAGAATTTTTTCCGCTGAAAAATTTTGGTGTCATTCGACTCAGCTCGACGAGCTCTTTCGAATGACATATAAATCGTCCAATTCTGAGCCTGGTACGGAAACTGTAGTTAGGCCGAAATGATTCAACTAACAACAGAAATAGGCTTTAAATAAGATAGAATGTATTTGACATAAAAACTTTTGGGGTCATGGGTTCGAACCCGTTTGGGGCCCCGAATATTTAAATTCGATAACCGTTTAGGTTTGGCATGATTTTGAGTTTGGGAGTAGTTTTATGTCAAATCGTAAAAATTAAGCCTCAAAGAAGTGTTGGGCACAAAAGTTTGGGGTCGTGGGTTCGAACACGGCCGTGGACCTGATTTTTTTAAAGTTCCAGTTGACTTTGACTTACAATAATTTTGAATGTGATAACAGTTTTCCGTCAAAACCGTTAAGAAAATAAACCAGAACTCTGAATTTAAAAATTTCAGGCGGTTGAAAACCTCTAGCTTAACCACTCACCCCCCCCCCCACTCTCCCACAAGAAAATCTCCCAAAAAGTCCAAACCTTTTCCAAAGTTTCTAAATGTCGTTGTATCCGTCTCCTTCTGGCAGCTTCATCAATTCCAGTTTGAGGATGTAGAGAAACCAAACGAGCTATGAAAATTTAAAAGTTTTGTTGAAAAAAAATGAGAAAAGATACTTGACTGTCTGGGAAGTTGTTTTTTAACTGGCGGCATTTAGTGAATGAATTAACTAGACATATAATCAAAAATCCCCATAAAATAGTAACGAATATTAAAATATGTACTTGAAAAAAGAAATTTAGGATAATAAAGTTTGTGTTTCCCCTTTTTTCTTTCGGCTGTAGTGTGTGTACCGAGGGAAATGTTCGGGACGTGACATATGTCATTTGATTCGTCTCGACGAGCTGAGTTGATGGTACCACTCCCAATTTCAGAAAATGTGAAAGCCCATAGGGGGAGTAAGGTCGATTTTGAGGAACTTATGCAGTTTGGGTATACACCCCATTTATTCGCAAGCTAAAAATGGTCAAAGTAACCATATTGAGGTCGGAAAAACGCTTGGGCATAATTCCTCGTATCGTGCGGTGTTAACCAGCGTCTCGCAAGAGTCGAGAGCTGTACGTGTATTAGAGGCAACTTGCTAGCTCGTGAATAATCGGGTTGACTAGTCAATTCGCCTGATGAGGGCTATCTCGCGAATAAATGGGGTGTGTACCCAAACTGCATAAGTTCCGATTTTGGAATAATATAACTCGGTCCAGAACATTTCCTGAAATTGGGAGTGGTACCATCAACGCAGCCCGTCGAGACGAATCAACTGACATATGTCTCATCCCTAACTTTTACCTCGCTACACTACACCAAAGCCGAAAGAAAAAAGGGGAAACACAAACTTAACTATTACCGAGATTTAGATTTTCACAAAAAGATGATAAAAAACTGAAGAAAATTCCTGCTTAAATAGTAAGGGGACAACATTAAATATTTTTAAAAAAAGTTTCGACACGAATTCCTTTCAAAAATGATTTTTCACTTTTCAGTCTCTCCTAATCTCATAGTCTTTATTTCTCTAACTGTAAATATTTAAATATTACGGGAATGACGAAAGCGGGCAATTGAAGTTTTTTTTAACAAGTCTACCTTAAAGCAAGTTTTTTAACGCAAAAAGCCGTTTAGTTTTTTATCTCTCGCGCATTTATATTTGTTATAAAGCGTTTAATATCTGGGTTAAATAAAGCATTCCAATAAATGTTAAATTGTGTAGTGATTCAGTGAAAATGATAGTTAAGAAAGGGGGCAATTCACAAAAAGATGATTCACCGAATTTTGATTTTTTGGGTCTTCATTTGAGATTTTTGACTCTTTTCTCTTTTTTAATAGTGAAGGGGACTGTGTTCTTTAGCCAATCTGTAACTAAAAATAAGGAAAAAAATCTTTAGTTTTTAACGATATTAATTTTTCATTTTGTCGGCGAAAATGGTTTTTAGGTGAATTGTCTGTGTATTGTCTGTGAATTGTCTGTATTTGTCGGTGAATTGTCTGTTTGTCTGTGAATTGTCGTGAATGTTTATTTTTGTTTAAATTTTTAATTTTATACAAATCTTCATAATCCTCTGTTATTTTAAGCCTTTTTAGGAGACTTTGACTTCACTTGTATTAATATTTTTGCATTTAATTCTTTTACAAATCGATTATTCGTTCATATTTTTTGGTGAAATTTTTGACAATTTTTTATTTTTCGTTAATTAATTGATTTTTTAAATTTTTTCAGAATTTTTCAGAAAATCCTAACTAATTCCCAACTTTTAATTTTGAATTTAAAGAATTTTTTAAACAACACAAAAGAAATGTCAAACAACAGCAACAATCCGTACAATTACTCTTTTATTTTCAAATACATTATAATTGGAGATATGGGCGTTGGAAAGTATGAAAGTTTTTTTTAATTTTTATTTTTAAAAATTTTTTTATGGTGTTTGAGGGCCTGGTGATACCTCGAATTATGGGCCTCCTATCAGGCCGAAGTCAGAATTTGGGGGGGGGGCACTCTTCTGGCTACTAGCTGCCTCCTATTAATTCCAGTCCTTTCCGATTCCTCGAATTTTTTAAACTTATTTAGCCTAGCCTTATTTGAGGAGGTGCTGTTTCGAAACAAGATATAACCTCGGAAAATTGAAATTTCGTGACAGCTCTGGCGATGAGATACTAGTCAGTAGAGACGTCCGAGACTCTTGGTCTCTTAATTTTAAGACTTTTTGGCTTTTCTCCAGTCTTGGGGTGTAGTCTTATGACTTGGGAAATTTTCGGTCTCGAACGTCTCTACTGGCCAGAGTGTGCCAGTTTTGCTTTTCGCCAGATTGCACCCTCTTTTGTTGTTTCACCCTTCTTTAAAATTCATTTTGGTGTTTTTGGCCTGTTTTTTTATAGGTGAGAGTCCGTCCCTATTTTAATCTTATTTAGTTTCTAACCCAAAATATTTTTTCGATATCCCAAAAAAACGAGTTTTAAACTTCCAAATTGTCCAAATTTCCTATCCAATACTCGACTTACCAACCAAATATTTTTCAAAAATTCACAAATTTCAGGTCTTGTTTATTACATCAATTTACTGAGAAAAAGTGTAAGAAAATTTAATTTTAAATTCAACTAAAAAATTTTTTTTTCAAGTTATGGCTGACTGTCCCCACACAATTGGCGTTGAATTTGGCACTCGATTGGTGGAAGTTAATGGACAAAAAATTAAATTACAAATTTGGTTTTCTTTAAATTTTTAAAATTTATACGAGTTTTCTTTAATTTTAGGGACACTGCAGGACAGGAACGTTTCCGAGCTGTTACTCGTTCTTATTATCGTGGCGCTGCTGGAGCTTTAATGGTTTTATTTTTTTGATTTTAAAGTAACTTGGTATTAGAGTTGGAAATTTAAATAAACTGGGGGGAACTGGAAATTGGATTTATTTCAGTCGTGACCGGCTCGGGAATTTTCGATCCTAGCTGGTTCCATAGGGGTTTTTCTGGTAGGTGGCGCTGCTGGGGAACCGCTAAAATTCACTTTGCTGTTTTCCCACGAGTCGGATGGAGGGATCGAGTTATGGGTTTGAATCCGTTCCTTCCACTTATTTTTAGTCTAACGCCCAGAGTTTGTCTCTACGTTCTGTAGATGTGACGTTTTGTCCCATTTTAATAGAATCTCTTATAGGCTTTAACTCTGTCACTTGTTGATAATTTCGAACCACACTCGATTTTGTTCACCCCATTATATCCGAAATGTTTGGGATTGAGGATGGTTCTTTGGGGGGTTGTCTCCATCCCTCTCTTCATTTAGTCTAACGCTCTTGGCCCCGACATTCAGTTTTTAAGTGACATTTTTGCCACAACTCTTTATAGACCTCATTCGCCTTTCTTGTTGATAAATTTCAATCCACTTTCGGCCTGTCTCGCTCTCCATCGCATACCCGAAGCAAGTTTTAATCCTTTCATGCCCTTATTTAGTACAATTTTAAGGACGAGTCACATTTCTATTTTATTTTTCCCTCAATTTAGGTCTACGACGTAACCAGACGTTCAACATATAATCATTTAAGCAGTTGGCTAAGTGATGCAAAAACATTAACCAATCCAAACACAGTTTTATTTTAAATTATTTTTTCAAAATAAAAATTTTTAAAAAGATAATTTTCCTAATCGGAAACAAATCTGATATGGAAGCACAAAGAGATGTTACTTACGAAGAGGCTAAAGCTTTTGCTGATGAACATGGATTAACTTTTATGGAGTGTTCGGCCAAAACGTTTGTTTTCTAAGTTTTTTTGATTATTTTTGTGGATGTGCATTTTTATGAGTTGAAGCTGTTTGGTTGGGAAAACAAGTCTAATTTTGGATAATTTTGAGTTATAGATAGAGTTAGAATTTTTAGAGGGTTTCCTATTTTTCTGAACCTCCCGAGGTCTTTTAGTCAATCCGATATCTTTCCTATTTTTTGGGGAGTTATTTTTTTGATTTATTATTTCTCTCTCATTTTCCTATATATTTTATGAAATTGACTTCACAAAAATTCTGATCATAGCAGGGATGTCACGGGTTGAGAAAAATGTCGGGTCGGGTTTCGGATCGGGTTTTCAAATTTTCTTCGGATCGGGTTTCGGGTTTCGGGTCGAAAAAAAGCCAAAATTTTGAGAATTTTGGAGGGCCAAAAAGCCAAAAATCTTCCCTTCTCAGCGCCGCAGACGAAAATTTTGAGAAATCTTGAAGGTCCGAAGCCAGATTTCTTCCTTTTTCAGCGCCGCAGGCGAAAATTTTCAGAATTTTGGAAGATCATTAAGCTAAAAATCTTCCCTTTTTCTGCGACGCGGGCGAGAATTTTGAGAAAACTCGGGTCGGGTTTCGGGTCGGGTTTTGAAAAATAAAAATTCTCGGGTCGGGTTTTAGAAATTTTCTCGGATCGGGTTTCGGGTATCGGGTCGAAAAAAAGGTAAGGGTTCGGCTCATGAACACAACAGAACTTATGTTTTTCTTGTCTAAAATTGTGTAAAAAGGTAAAATATCAGTATAAAAGTACTCAAAATGGTCCTCTTGTGCATTTTTCCCGGATTTTCAGACCCCTGAAAATCCGGGTACCATAGGGGGGAGTAAGCTGATTTTTGGGGTCAAAAATTCGAATATGCAAATAATAGCTCATTCGAAAGGGCTCGACGAGCTGAGTTGAATGACATCAAAATCAGATCGATTGGAAGATTATGAACAAAGTTATGACCAACAGAATCTTCGCTGGAAAAACTGTTTTTGTGCTGCTACGGAGGGCTAGGGTTCGGCTCATGAACACAACAGAACTTATGTTTTTCTTGTATAAAAAGGTGTGGGAAGATAAAATATCAGTATAAAAGTGCTCAAAATGGTCCTCTTTTGTATTTTTCCCGGATTTTCAGACCCCTGAAAATCCGGAAAGCATAGGGGGGACCAAGCTGATTTTTGGGGCCAAAAATTCGAATATGCAAATTATACCTCATTCGAAAGAGCTCGCCAAGCTGAGTCGAATGACACCAAATTCAGCTCGATTGGATGATTTTTGACAAAGTTATGACCGTTTATTTTACCCCTTCCACAAGGTTTTCGCGGAAAAAAGTTTTTGCCGCTGCGGAGGAAGCCGGGCATGTCGAGCGGAACGGCGGCCGCCGCTTCGCTACGGTCGCCGCGAGCGCAGCGAGCACGACCGCAGCGAAGCACGGCCATCGTGTAGCGAAGACCATGCCCGGCCTACCCTCCGTAGGGCCGGGTTTCGGGTATCGGGTTTCGGGTAACCCGTGACATCCCTGGATCATAGTTATAGGTCCCGACTTCGTTATTACTTTAAACAAGAGAGAATTTTTTTCTGTGAAATCACGGACTTGGAGATTAATAGGCATTTGAATTCGTTTATTTGTGAATTCCATCTTCCAATTAAAAAACCACAAGTCATCGCAATAGATTATTTCAAATTTGAATTCATTAATTTCAAAAAATTTGGGGCCCGGCTGGTCTAGAACCCGTGACCCCAAAAAATTCCGCTTCTTAGCCTCTGATTTTTCAAAAGTCATTAGGTCTAGTAAAATGCAGGCATCTATTATTTTACAATTTTTAATATTAATAAATTTAAATTTAGTGGAGAAAATGTAGAAGACGCTTTCTTGGAAACAGCGCGACGTATTTACCAGAATATACAAGATGGAAGGTTTACAATTAGAATAAAAAAATTTTTTTTTAATTTTGTTCATTTCAAGTCTCGACCTAAACGCTGCTGACACAGGTGTCCAATCCAAACAACACCACGGACAAAATCGTAATGGAGTTCACCAACCAACAACAGGTGCTGAATCTGAAGCGAAAAAGTGTGCCTGTTAAAATTTTTTGGTTGGAAGGAAAAATAATTTTTTTTTAATTTAAAAATATATGGGTGATGGTTTAGAAAACTTTTTTTTAATTTTTTTAGGATATAGTGTAGTGTACCGGTGGTAAAAGTTCGGGATGTGACATATGTCATTCGATTCGTCTCGACGAGCTGAGTCGAATGGTACCACTCCCCACTTTAGGAAATGATTTTGGACCGAGTTATAGTTCCCGAAAAATCGAAAAACCAAAGGGGGGACCAAGCACTTTTTTGGTGTGAAAAATTCGAAAATACAAATTATACCTCATTCGAAAGAGCTCGTCGAGCTGAGTCGAATGACACCAAAATCAGCTTGATTGAACAAGATTAGACAAAGTTACGATGCAAAAAACAAAAAACCTAACCCTATGGAGCGTCAGCGAGGCGCTTGTGCAAAACCCCGCGCTTCGCGCGGGGTTTTGCGGCACGCGCCTCGCGGGGAGTCTACGGGCGCTGGGTCTGGGCTCGTAACATAAACCTATTCCTATCTCCCTTGCTCTGGACGTATTTGGGGCCTCCGCAGCAGCAAAAGTCTCCACAGATGCCATAGGTAAGGAGCTAAAACAAACTGTCATAACTTTGTCAAATCAAGTCGGATTTCGTTGATTTTGGTGTCATTCGACTCAGCTCGACGAGCTCTTTCGAATGAGGTATAATTTGCATTTTCGAATTTTTCACCCCAAAAAAGTGCTTGGTCCCCCCTTTGGTTTTTCGATTTTTCGGGGCCTATAACTCGGTCCAGAATTATTTCCTAAAGTAGGGAGTGGTACCGTTCTACTCAGCTCGTCGAGACGAATCGAATGACATATGTCACGTCCCGAACTTTTACCACCGGTACACTACACTACAGCCTTTTTTTAAAACGCTAAAGCAAAAATTTTTTCGATATTTTTTTTAAAATAATTTGTGAGGGGGGTATTTTGTATTTATTTACATACGTTAAGGTTGATGGTGGAAGGAGAAAAAAATTTTTTTTGAATTTTTTGTGAGGGCTAAAAAAATTTTTAGACTCTTAAACTATTATCCTAAAATGTTTATTTCATCTTTTATTTCGTTTACTTAATTTAAAAAAATTAATTAACCACGAAAGTGGTCGAACCAGTAACCCTAGTTATTTGGGAGGTTTTGTAGGCAGCGTCCTTATCCACTTAACCAAATTTCTATGAGATTTTTTCTTAAGTTCTCCTTCCACCCTTCCACCTCTGTCCTCCTTCCTCATATTTTCCACTCCCATAAATACACGTTGTATTCTCAATTAATTTATGAGAACCCAGTCTATTAAAGCGCAAGACTATAAAACCAAAAAAATACACATCTAAATATATTTTAGTTCCAACCTCCAAACACCCATTTTTCTATAGACATTTCTTTTAAATTTTAAAAATTTCTTACATTCTTATCAAGAAATTAAAGAGATTTTTTTGTTTAGGAACGTACTTTTAAAATCTAAAAAAACAAAAAAAATTATTTTAAATTTTGGACGTTCCCTAAATAAAATGTACATTTATATAATTTTTTTCAACCCTTTTTTAACTTGTATTTATTTTATTCGGTTTGATTTCCTAAAAGTATGTATATTTAAATTCTCTTAAAAATTAAATTTTCTTTAAAAAATTTTTTTCCCAAATTTTTAAAGTTTATAAAATCGAACTCCACTATAAAATACACCCACGGGGTCATACCTTAAATAGGAAGTATCATTTAGGTAGTTTCCCTGCCTAGTGGCCAACCGACGGTGTGTTTAAGTGGAATGTGCCAAAAACCGCTTTTAAAAAGCCAAAGGCGAAGCGCCAAAGAAGGTAAGCTGCAACTCCGATAAAGTTGAAACCTCGAAAGCAAAAATTGGCAAGGTGAAACTGGCACACCTCCAGTATTTAGGAGTAACTTATCTGACTATATTGTTTAAAAAATCCAGCTAATTTTAATTAAATGGAAGAATATTTACCATAAAATTTTTTTATTCAAATTAAAATTTAAAAAAAGTCACATTTTCTTTAAAAAAATCCAAAGTTACTAATTAATATTTCCAAAAGAGGGAAGAAGGAATTTTACAAAAAAAAAAAGAAATTTTAAATGGAAAAAGAGAAAAAATTGAAGGGGAGAGAGAATGAAAAAAGAAAAAATGTTTTTAAATTTTAGAAAAAAATTTAAATTGAAAAAAAAGAAAATTGAAAAAAATACCCCCCAAAAATATTTTCGTTTTGCCCAAAAATAAAAATGCCGAAAAAAATTTCAAAAAATTTTTTCAAAAAAATTTTTCAATTTACCTAAAAAGTTAAAAATACTTATAGGCTGCTTATTTTTAAAAAAGGTCTTCGAAAAAAAATCAAAAGAATCTATTTAAAATTAGAGGGCCCCCAACGGGTTCGAACCCAAGACCCCTCAAAAAATATCAAAAAAAGAGTTATAAACTAAACCTAATTTCCAAAATTAAACTGAAAATCGACTCAAATCAGGTCCGATTTTGTTTTAGAATTAATTTCCATTAGTCTTAAAAGTTGAAAAAATATAAAAGAAAAAAACCTTTCACCACCAGAAAAATTAAGAAAAAAAAAGAAAAAAATTCCCACCAAAAAATCCCACTCATCCTCTCATTTTTCCCCTTCTTTTCTAAGCACACCGGTTTTTTCTTCAATCATGGAAGACAAGAATTTAAAAACCCGTTGCATAAAAGCCCATTTCGAGGCCCACCGTTTGAAGATGGAGGACATCCCCCGCCTCCTCCACCAGCACCGTCCAAAGTTGTTATTTCACCGTTACGTTGTTGTTGTTGAAATTTTTTGTAGGTTAAATATTCCTAAAATTAGAGGAGGATATTAAAAACTTTGATTTTATCTAAAAATAGACCTAGAAATAAATTTCTAACTCATTAAAAAATAATCGGCACCGAGCGGATTCGAACCCATGACCCCCACCCTCCCCAAACGTTTACGTGGAAATAGGGCTTTTTGTTTGAATCTAGGAAGAATAAAAATTTTAAATAGACAAACTGACTTAAAAAAAGCTGAAAATTACCAGGGAATAAACAAAAATGTTAAAAAAATAAGATTACCCGGAGAGGATTCGAACCTCCGACCCCTCCTCTCCCCAAACCTTTACGTGGAAATAGGGCTTTCTGCTTGAACCCAGGAAGAATAAAAATTTTAAATAAACAAATTGACTGAAAAAAAGCTGAAGATTACCAGAGAATAAACAAAAATGTTAAAAAAATAAGATTACCCGGAAGGGGTTCGAACCTGCGACCCCTTCTCTCCCCCACCGACTATCCTCTCTTTTCTCAAAAATCTTTAAAGAAACCTCATATGATATAGACATTTTCTCGGATTGGAAACGTTCGACCAAAACTGCTTGTCTGTCCATTTCAGTTATTTCACCTTTAAATCCTCCTTTACGCATCAAATTGTTTACCGTCTCAACGTGATTCCAGCCTACAAAATTATTTTGAAAAATTTTCTAGAAGAAAAAACCCTGATCTCTAGCTACTTCAGGCAAGTAAACCGCGCTCATTGAACGGTGATGTTGTCGATATTCAATTCGTATTCCATGGATTCCTATAAGCCAATCACGATAATGGCGGGCTGGTTCAAAACAAACCTTTAAAATTAAGAAAAGTTGGGGTTATCATTTTATTAGAATTTTAACTTCATTAAAAACATAAAGGGACCCCAAACGCCTCGAAAGTTTGAGTCAATTCAATTCCACTCTTAAAATTTTCAAAAAAAGTCAAAAAATGGCATGTACCTAGGGGTCGTGGGTTCGAACCCGCTTGAGGCCCGTTAATTTTTAAATCAGAATTTCAAAGAAAATAAGGAAGCCTTACATGAAAAGGCTTTTTAAAAAAAAAAAACCAGTTTTTGCGGACATATTTATTTTTTTTATATATTTTTTAAGGTCATTGAATAATGCAGCAGGGAAATAGTGAAATAGAGGGGTACAGCCCAAGTAGGCGCGGGCCAAGTAGGCGCGACCGAGTAGGCGCGACCGAGTAGGCGCAGGCCAAGTAGGCGCAAACCCAAGTAGGCGCACGGCCCAAGTAGGCGCAAGGGTAAATTTCTTAATTTTTACCCAAAATTTTTTTATTAATCTTCAACTAATTTTGTTAATTAGTTGGCTGAATAATCAAGCAACTTTATGTGGACACTGGACTTTTTCTAAAACTGCCCTTCTTAGGGAAAAAAATTTATTAAGTGAAGCTCGTTGATGTTTTTATTTTTTGATAAAATTAAAAAAAATCTTTTAATATTTTTCTCATAAAAGCTCCATACTTAGCTGCTGATAAGTTTTGGATTATTTGCTAAGTTTGTTAATTAGTGAAAGCCATGCTGCTTTGATAATTCCTGTGGCTTACCAATGTTATGAATACTCTAACTAGTTCAACTAGTTTAAGAGGGACTAACTAGTTAGCCTTTAGGAACTAACCAGTTTAAGGGAACATAAAGTATATACAAAGGTACAATTAACAATCAAGATACGACTATCAAGGCGTTTCACAAAAAAGTCCAGCTACAGTTAGCTTTCACTAATTAACAAACTTAGCAAATAATCCAAAACTTATCAGCAGCTAAGTATGGAGCTTTTATGAGAAAAATATTAAAAGATTTTTTTTAATTTTATCAAAAAATAAAAACATCAACGAGCTTCACTTAATAAATTTTTTTCCCTAAGAAGGGCAGTTTTAGAAAAAGTCCAGTGTCCACATAAAGTTGCTTGATTATTCAGCCAACTAATTAACAAAATTAGTTGAAGATCAGTGCTGGGTATTTGCCATTTGTTGGCTCCGGCTCCGGGCTCCGGGGTTTCAAAATCTTGGCTCCGGCTCCGGCTCCGGGCTCCGGCCTTTTAAAATCTTGTCTCCGGCTCCAGCTCCGGCTCCGGAGCCGGCGATTTTCGGAGCCGCTCCATGTTGGCTCCGGGCTCCGGGTGGAAAATCAATGAATTATTTTTCATTGGGGATTTGGGTAGATAAAGGGGGATATCGAGTGATATAAGAGGATTAAGAGGGTTATCAATGGATTAAGCGGGATTTGTGTGGATTATCTTGTGATTTAGGTAGATTAAGGGCGATATCGGGGGGATTAAGGGGATCTGGATCTAAAAATCTTCTTTTTTTGCGCCGCAGGCGAAAATTTTGATAATTTTGGAAGATCCTTAAGCCAAAAATCATCCTTTCTCAGCGCCGCAGGCGAAAATTTTAAAAATTTTGACACCCTAAGGACTAAAATTAATCAATTTGAAAAATTTATCAAGCTTCATTTAATAAAAAAATGATTATAATAATTTATTGTTGAAAGAAAAACAAATCCTAAGTCTTTCATTACGTTCGGGTTCGAACCTAATACCTAGATAAGTCCTCAAAATATGAACCCAACACACTATCCAGTCAACCACGCATCTTTCTTAAAGGAAATGAAAGAAAATCTTTTTTACCTGTCTCAATTTTCTCTTCCTTTTCTTTTCACGCCTACCATCTTTGCTTACTTCTTTTTCTCTAACCCATCTTTAGGGGTGTATAGCCGGAGCCGTGGGGAATTGGAAAACCTTGGCTCCGGCTCCGGGGTTTGAAATTCTTGGCTCCGGCTCCAGCTCCGGGGTTTCCAAAATCTTAGCTCCGGCTCCGGCTCCGCCGGAGCCGGCTCCGGAGCCGGGCTCCGGAGCTAGCTCCCGGAGCCATACCCAGCACTGTTGAAGATTAATAAAAAAATTTTGGGTAAAAATTAAGAAATTTACCCTTGCGCCTACTTGGCCTGCGCCTACTCGGTCGCGCCTACTCGGTCGCGCCTACTTGGCCCGCGCCTACTCGGGCGTGTCCCTGAAATAGAGGAAGGAAGAAAGACTGTTCAGTAAATCAAGTGAGTCCGTAAAATATGTCCGCAAAAACTGGTTTGGGATAACCAATAAGTACCCATGAAAACACTCCCCTACACGAAAAATAGCTCTTTAAAATAACCAGAAATCCTGAGGGCGCGGAATAATCATGGGTCATTCCGAGGGGTCATGGGTTCGAACCCGATTGAGGTCCCATAATTTTGAATTGAATATTTAAACTAAAAATAATGTTTGCTTATAAGAAAACAAATAAAAATTCAAAAATTAAATAAAAAATAAACCAATAAAGACACAGCACAATGCAAATGGGGCATCTCGTGTAGAGTGATTGGATCAAATCGAGAATCTCGGAAGGCACTAAAATTTAAGAATTAATTTTTCCAAGTTACAAAAAAGCTCTCCAAATGCTTTTTTCCTATAAACCTTGTATGAGCATACTCGCTGAGTCCTTCATGAAGTGGCAAATTTTGCGAGAAAGTTCCAATACATCCACGAAGATGGCGTTGATGGCCTTTCTTCCAGGTTACAAATAAAGGAAAATTTTCATTTGGAACATTATTTGGGCATTTTGGCAATTTACTTTTGCTTAGATGTGCAATTATCTGTGAAAGAAAGTAATCTCATTTAGAAAAAAAATGGGGGGCCTCAAGCGGGTTCGAACCCGCGACCCCTAAAATAAGTATTTGGGATAAAGTGTCACTGTTAATTTGTGCGTAGAAGTTACTAAGAAAGTACGACTACGCTTTACGGAAAACAGTGGAGAATGCTATAGGAATGCAAGTGTCAAAGGTATGAAAATGGTCAAACCAATGAGTATCTGTATTCCGAATGGGGGGGGGGGTTGGCATTTAAAAATCTGAGATCCAAATAAAAGCGAGACTAAAATTAGTCTGGATTGACAATAAAATAAACAATTTTGACAGTTATCCAAGTTTGAATAACAAAAGGAAACAAAATAAAACAAAAAAGCAAAAATTTTTGGGGTCGCGGGTTCGATACCGCTCGAGGCCCGATAATTTTTAAATTAGCAAAAAACCCATAGTTTTCACTTAAAATGACCCCAGAACCCTAATAAACCATAAAAAAATAAAATTCCAAACCACATCAAAACAATGCACCGGCATATCAATTGTTGCAATTTTACCACCATTATTGGGCACAATAACTCCATTCGTTACCTGTTGGGAAGCTGAATTATTGGCAGCGGCAGAATTTGTCTTGTTGAGCAAGGAGTCATTTTGCCTTGTCATTTCAATTAAAAAAAGAAACAAAGGACTCTAAATAGAGTTGCTAAAATAATCGAGAGGCAAAATTGGCCCACCCTGAAATAATTTTTTAAGAAAATTTTTTTTGGGTGGGCCAAAATGTCCAAAAAAAATTTTCTGAAATTTTAAAAGAAAACTTGTTCAAAAAATATTTTTAGGGTGCTAAAAGTGACCATAAAAGTACCAAAAATGAAAATAAAAAATAAAATACCCGGAGAAGGTTCGAACCCACGACCCCCCATCGTTGATGGGGAAGTAGGGGGGACACGCCCAAAAGGGGCGCGCCCAAACTGATTTATGGAAAATAAAAATTTTAAAGGGTAAATGTGACTAAAACAAGCTTAAAAGCACCAAAGAACGAAAAAGACGGAATTAAAAAATAAAAAAATCCCTGAGCGGGTTCGAACCCACGACCCCTCAAAAATCGATTTTTCATTCATTTTCCTGTTATAATTCTAAGAATTCCACTCAACTTTTGGTAAAATTTATTTATTTTTCTACTTATTTAAATGGAAAAAGCAACAGATGATTATTTATATTTTTTGCTTTCGTTCTCAAAATTCTCCGCTTTTTTGTAAATATTTATTGCAGGGCTCTCATCGACAAAATGCCACTCAAAAGTATCAAAATCTTGATAAAAAAGTATATAGGGAGAAAATTTCCAAATTTAAAGTATACTCAAAATTAAATTGGAAAATATTTGTTCGTGCTCAAATCTTTTATATTTCTCTCTTAAATGAATCTTTTCTAATAATTTCTTGCTTCCATTGGGCATTTTGTGCATTTCAACGCATGACATGTCAAAATTCGCTGATACAAGAAATAAAGCCCTGACAGTCTTAACCTCAAGCTTTCGTCCATTTTCAGCGCCGCAGGCGAAAATTTTTTGAAATTTGGAGCCCAAGTAGTCAGATTTCTCCCATTTTCAGCGCCGCAGGCGAAAATTTTTTGAAATTTGGAGCCCAAGAAGCCAGATTTCTTTCTTTTTCAGCGCCGCAGGCGAAAATTTTGATAATTTCGAAGGCCCAAGGCTAAAAAAATTCACTTTTTTGCCCAATCCCTTCCCCAATTTCATTTTCAATCCAAAATGTTGATTTTAAAGTATATACTTTCAATAAAGTATAAATTCAATTTCTTAAGTATGGAGGTCGGTTTCAAAGTATAATACTTTCAAATAAAGCACGAATGAGAGCCCTGATTTATTGAAATACTCTTGTGTGTTGTGTGCAGTTTTACTTTTTTTAGTGCACCAAAAATTATTTTAACGTAGTAAAAATCGATATTGAGTAAAGGAAATTAATAATTAAAAAAGAGAAAAAAGAGAAAAAAATGAAAATAGTATTGGGGTGGTTAAGGCAAAAAAGTGCGAAATATAAAAAATTAATAGGCCAAAAATCAAGAGTTTGAGTAAGATTTTAACTGCGAAACTCAGCAAAACGGTAAGGGTTTACCTTATGAACACACCTAAATCATGTTTTTCTAGTCTAAAAAGATGTGAAATGACTATATAACATTATAAAAGGCTAAAAATGGGAGCCATAACATTTTTTGAAAATTAAAAAATTCATCGGGCTCGAAATGGTCAAAATCGTAAGGGTGATTTTTGGGGGTCAAAAATTCGAATATGCAAATAATAGCTCATTCGAAAGAGCTCGTCTAGCTGACACCTCTTTTTAGACTAGAAAAACAGGAGTTTAGGTGTGTTCATAAGGTAAACCCTAGCCAGCAAAATTTCCAAACTTTTAAGTCCACATTCTCTAGGGTAAATTAACCCAAAAAGTTTTCTATTTTATGCCTCGTCTGAAAGAACAATTTTCAGCTCATTTTTACAGCTCAAAAAAGTCAATAAACACGTGCATTTATTAGTTTCCCAACACATTGGGTAGACACAATACATAGATAAAAGATAGACACGAAGCAAGCCAGTAAGGCGCAATCCAGTCTAAAATTTTGAAAAAATTCCTAGGCTGATTTTGAAATATTTCTAAACTTCATTAGAGATATGTATTTATTTCCACTATAAAGAATTATAAAAAAAATTTTTTTGTCCGCAAAATTTAAAAATCCGCAAGTTAAAATCTGCAAGTTTTTCTTCTTTACTCTTCCTTCTTTAATTCAAACGTCTTATCGAAATTTCTACCAACAAATTCATTAAAACTAGTTAAAGCTTGAACGGACCGAGCTCCTAAAAATTAAATTTATTTATTAATGTAATTATCATGTATCACGTTTGACTCCCGCCACTGCTTCTGGTAGTGCACATTTTCTTTCAGTACAGGCAACCATTGACCTTAATTTTATTTTTTGTCAGAAAACTATTTAATAAAATGAACTCTAAAATATTTTATAACATTTTAGTAAGAAAAAGTTGTCCGCAAAACTAAAGAATTATCCGCAAATTTTTTACAAAATCCGCAAGTAGACTTGTAGACCTCAGACTAGGACACGGATAATGATTTTGATATCCGTATCCGGATATTTACAGCGGATACAGACGGATATCCGCAGGCATCTTTATAATATCTGTATCCATATCCGTATCCATGTCCTAGTCTGGTAGACCTTGTAAAGATTGCAGACAAATTTACAAAATTTGCGGACATTTTTAAGAAAATAACTCTCTTGGCTTCAACATAGACTTACTTAAAACATCCACACATTCCTATTAGACATTGATCTTTAGAATTACATTCAGAATAAGTTTTATCGCAATCAGTCAAGTTTTTTTTATAATATTCTTTCAGAAAAGTCTTGCTACAAATTTGATAAGTAGTTAAAATTACTTCACAAGTAATGTAATCTTCATATATACATCTGTTTAAAAATTAGACTGTTTCCCTTTTATAATAAAGCGATTTGGTCTCTTCTCATTGGTCTCGAAGGGTGTTGTTGCCTCTGACTGAGACGTGATCCTGTTCAATTAATCTCGGTTATCGAGGGCGAGAGATTGAACTTTATTGAGAATATCAGTCTTAATGATATGCTTACAGACACTTGTAAAGATCGGGGTGCCCGCATTATAGGGGGGGGGGCACAAATGGTCATAAATAATTTTTCCTTCTCTGCCTGCTTACATGAAGTCAATTTTCGTCCTAATTTTTTTGAATAAGATCTCGTCTTGGTCCGGTATCTCTCATAACATCACCCTATCAATGAGAAATGAAACTTCTATATTAAAGCTTTCCATTAAAATATTTTACTTGCAGTCGTTTGTAACCTTTTTATGCATGGATTTGTTACATTCATCAAGTGTGAGGTAATCATTGCTTATGACAAAATTGACACATGCCAGTATTGACAATAGGAAAAGGAATTTTCTGAATTTTTTTCAAGATTAGATTAAGATTTTTGAAGAAAAGAAATAAAAGCTATCACCACGGCTTTAAAGTAGTAGCCCGAAACTTGTAAAAATCAAAAAGAGTATGGAAGAGTAAGAGGCAATTAAGGGAAAAAGACAAAATTTAGCTATATCTTATTTGCTCAGATAATTAACCAGGGTAATTATTAGAAATTTTTCGGGATCCTGTCAGAAATCCTGCCTTTTTTCAGTTTTCTACAGTACTTCTGATTATTGGCGTTGTGCCCAATAAATGACATTTTGTCCATAATTACACCGAGTTAATTTTTTGATTTCTGTCGTGGATTACTTATATATTTTCTTTTAAATATAAGACTCCGGGATTCTTACAAAAATTATTTAAAAACATACGGTAACATTATTGAGTTCTTTATAAATATAAAAATTAAAATAATTTTCTATTAAATTTTAAAAATAAAATATTTTTACTTTAAATAAATTTTAAAATTATTAAGATAATAAATACTTAAAAATGGGACAAAACAAATTTTTTAAATTATTACACAAACAAAATAATAAGGAAATTAATTTTAAATTAATTAAAAGTACAATTTAAAGGGGTCGGTCAAAACACCGTCTGACAAATTTAACGCCACGCATTAATGTAAGAAATACCGTTCATTTCAATTAAACTTAAAATGGGGACAAAAACTTAAAAATGGGACAAAAATGGGACAATATTTTTACTTTAAACACCGTCTGACATTTTTGAGGCGTTAGTAAAAAATGGGACAAAACATCTTACTAATTATTACACAAACAAAATAATAAGGAAATTAATTTTTAATTAATTAAAAGTACAATTTAAAGGTGTCGGGTCAAAACACCGTCTGACAAATTTAACGTCCGCACATTAATGTAACACTTAAATAATTTTTTGAATAGGTAAAGGGGATTAGTAAGAACCTAGACCTAACATGTATTGAGTCTAATGAATAACAGGGGTTCATCCAGGATATACTCGCATCTCCTCCCCGACTGGAAACCCCAGGAATGAAGGAATATGAGCGACACTTACCAATTTCATGTGCCAATTTCGTCCTTTGCCGATTTTCGCCACATTTTGTTATTTCATATTTTCTTTTTAAAAAGTTTCGACACACCCCTGACTTTACCAATAAAAAATTCGACAATTTATATATTTGCTTAATTTATCGAAATATTTTTCGAATAATAAAAATTCAATCGTTTATAGAAGTTTATGATATTTAATCTCATTTTTATAAATCTTTTGTTCTCTCTATAAAAATTCATCGATAGTTTTCCCAACAGATTTAGTCATTCGAACAGCTACAAAAAATTATAATTAAAATTTAGAAAAAATACACTAGGCCTACTTTCATTCCCATTTAATTTATTTACTAGTACACAAGCTTTTCGTTCCTTTGGTAAAGAATATTGAAGAAAACAGTCCATCAAACTACTAAAAGTGAAAAACAAAATTATTTACAGTCGTATCTTATTATAAGACACTCAATCCTTAATTTAAGTTATTCACCTGACAGGAATTTTACCTGAATATTCTACCGCCTAAGCATTTAAATCATCCACTAATATCTCTATCCCTCATACCAGCCCCATGGTTAAGAGCTATTAAGCCGTTAATTCTACCAATAAACAGGGTTTCTTGTTAGCGGAAACACAAATAAGAGTTTAGGAAAAGTTCAAGGAAAAGTTCAGCCCCGGGCAGAGCTCGAAATGCGCAAGCAATAGAATAACTAATCCATTTTAGTCCCTTTATTTGACAATAACGGACAGTGGTTATTTAATTCCGTAATTATTTTTTTATCATGAAAGAGATGAGTTTAGGATACTCACTCTAAAAATTTACACAAGCCAATTTCACATTCAGTTATGGGATCAGAGCAGCTCTCATTATATAACGTCTCACACGTGTATTTTCGAAAATAAAATTTTGGAGTATTTTCTTTGGTACATATTCGATTAATAAACAAAGGTAACTGTAATCGTTTTCTGATTTGACAGCATCTGAATTTTTTTTAAAAAGCTTTGATTTAGTATTAGCGTTGAAAGAAATGCATTGGATTTTTTGGGTTTGGGTTCTTCAAAATTTTTTTGTTTTCAGGATGACGATTCAGAAAATAGTAATAGTGAGGGTATTGGATAAGGGAGACAGTGGACTAGCCAGACTAGAATGACCCAACCGAATACTTACACTTGAAACCGAACCAAACTTTATATTTGTTGTTCTAAGGTGCCGAGGGGTACTTTATGGATATGTCACCCCCTCCTATTTTGAGTCTCAGAGTTTTCCTTATGCGTAGAAAATGGTCAGAGATTATTTTCTATTTTCTTTCTATGTCAATCATTTTTTTCTTCTTCAAGTATTTTGCTTTTTTATTTTGATTTTTCACATATGTATTTTTGAATTTTGTACATACATTTCACTCATTTCGTTTCCACATTTCACTTATTTGCTTGAAGAAAAGAATGATTGACATAGAGAGACTCAAGATAGAGGGGAGGAGGGTGACATATCCACAGCGTACCAAAGTGTAAGCTTATATTTTTATAAGGGATTTTTCGGTTCAGTTTGAAAACGACAACCCTACTTTTGACTGATTTTATACTGATCCACATAACAAAAACTGAGAGTTTTTCAATTCTGTTACGGATATCCGAAGATTTTTAAGAACATACAATCCCTCTTTACTATTAGTTTTAAACCTAAAAAGAAATAAAATTTACTTGTCAATTTCATCAACAGGTTCAATATCTATAAAACCACCGTTACAGCTTTAATAGAAATAATTTTAAAAGATTTTCCAAAAATTTCACGAAAATTACTTGCATCCATAAGTCTCTTCAAGTAAAAATTTAGAAACTTTGTTACACTTTTGAAGCGTAAATGATGGATTGGCGGCGTTATTTTCATTAAATAAAAATAACGTAAACAACAAAATTAATTTAAAATTCTTAAACATTTTTTTAAATTTTTATTTTGTGAAATGAGTAAATAAATAAAAATATTTGTCTTTATTAAGAAAATAGAAAATTGGTAAACAGAAACAAAACTTGTTGTAATAAATAATTTTAAGATTTAATTTTTTGTTTTCAAGTAAATAGTAAACAAGAGTGACCCTTTTTCAAGAGTGAAAAAGAGTGACTGCACCTCTAATAGTATTACCAAATGACCATAAGGGTAATTGTTCGGTTCGTACACCCCACTCCTTTTCCTTCCTAGAAGTATTAAAAAATGGTCAGTCTGTCTAAGGTTATAGAACTCGTCGAGCTGTGTCGAATGACACCAAAATCAACGACAGGTCTTAACTTTGGGCCGAGATACATGCCCAAGAATATTGAAAAATAAAATTGGTAATTTGTTCATATCCCGCCCCCACCCCTATTTGAGTCTCAGATTAATTTCCCTTCTTTGTTGTCAATCATTTATTTTCCGCCTTTTTTAATGCCAATCATTTTCTTCCCTGAAATATAGGACAACCAAAAGGGCAGTATTAAACATTATAAGCCTGTAATTTCTTCTAATTCATACATAATCGCAAATCTCTATGTATTACCAAATTTTCTGTTAGTACTAAACATTATAAGCAATTAATTTCTTCTAATTCATATATAATCGCAAATCTCTATGTATTACCAAATTTTCTGTTAGTACTAAACATTATAAGCCTGTAATTTCTTCTAATTCATACATAATCGCAAATCTCTATGTATTACCAAATTTTCTGTTAGTACTAAACATTATAAGCAATTAATTTCTTCTAATTCATATATAATCGCAAATCTCTATGTATTACCAAATTTTCTGTTAGTACTAAACATTATAAGCCTGTAATTTCTTCTAATTCATACATAATCGCAAATCTCTATGTATTACCAAATTTTCTGTTAGTACTAAACATTATACGCCTGTAATTTCTTCTAATTCATACATAATCGCAAATCTCTATGTATTACCAAATTTTCTGTTAGTACTAAACATTATACGCCTGTAATTTCTTCTAATTCATACATAATCGCAAATCTCTATGTATTACCAAATTTTCTGTTAGTACTAAACATTATACGCCTGTAATTTCTTCTAATTCATACATAATCGCAAATCTCTATGTATTACCAAATTTTCTGTTAGTACTAAACATTATACGCCTGTAATTTCTTCTAATTCATACATAATCGCAAATCTCTATGTATTAGCAAATTTTCTGTTAGTACTAAACCTTATAAGCCTGTAATTTCTTCTAATTCATACATAATCGCAAATCTCTATGTATTACCAAATTTTCTGTTAGTACTAAACATTATACGCCTGTAATTTCTTTTAATTCATACATAATCGCAAATCTCTATGTATTACCAAATTTTCTGTTAGTACTAAACATTATAAGCCTGTAATTTCTTCTAATTCATACATAATCGCAAATCTCTATGTATTACCAAATTTTCTGTTAGTACTAAACATTATAAGCCTGTAATTTCTTCTAATTCTCCTATTTTGAGTCTCTCCCCTCCTATTTTGAGTCTCAGAGTTTTCCTTATGCGTAGAAAATGGTCAGAGATTATTTTCTATTTTCTTTCTATGTCAATCATTTTTTTCTTCTTCAAGTATTTTGCTTTTTTATTTTGATTTTTCACATATGTATTTTTGAATTTTGTACATACATTTCACTCATTTCGTTTCCACATTTCACTTATTTGCTTGAAGAAAAGAATGTTTGACATAGAGAGACTCAAGATAGAGGGGAGGAGGGTGACATATCCACAGCGTACCAAAGTGTAAGCTTATATTTTTATAAGGGATTTTTCGGTTCAGTTTGAAAACGACAACCCTACTTTTGACTGATTTTATACTGATCCACATAACAAAAACTGAGAGTTTTTCAATTCTGTTACGGATATCCGAAGATTTTTAAGAACATACAATCCCTCTTTACTATTAGTTTTAAACCTAAAAAGAAATAAAATTTACTTGTCAATTTCATCAACAGGTTCAATATCTATAAAACCACCGTTACAGCTTTAATAGAAATAATTTTAAAAGATTTTCCAAAAATTTCACGAAAATTACTTGCATCCATAAGTCTCTTCAAGTAAAAATTTAGAAACTTTGTTACACTTTTGAAGCGTAAATGATGGATTGGCGGCGTTATTTTCATTAAATAAAAATAACGTAAACAACAAAATTAATTTAAAATTCTTAAACATTTTTTTAAATTTTTATTTTGTGAAATGAGTAAATAAATAAAAATATTTGTCTTTATTAAGAAAATAGAAAATTGGTAAACAGAAACAAAACTTGTTGTAATAAATAATTTTAAGATTTAATTTTTTGTTTTCAAGTAAATAGTAAACAAGAGTGACCCTTTTTCAAGAGTGAAAAAGAGTGACTGCACCTCTAATAGTATTACCAAATGACCATAAGGGTAATTGTTCGGTTCGTACACCCCACTCCTTTTCCTTCCTAGAAGTATTAAAAAATGGTCAGTCTGTCTAAGGTTATAGAACTCGTCGAGCTGTGTCGAATGACACCAAAATCAACGACAGGTCTTAACTTTGGGCCGAGATACATGCCCAAGAATATTGAAAAATAAAATTGGTAATTTGTTCATATCCCGCCCCCACCCCTATTTGAGTCTCAGATTAATTTCCCTTCTTTGTTGTCAATCATTTATTTTCCGCCTTTTTTAATGCCAATCATTTTCTTCCCTGAAATATAGGACAACCAAAAGGGCAGTATTAAACATTATAAGCCTGTAATTTCTTCTAATTCATACATAATCGCAAATCTCTATGTATTACCAAATTTTCTGTTAGTACTAAACATTATAAGCAATTAATTTCTTCTAATTCATATATAATCGCAAATCTCTATGTATTACCAAATTTTCTGTTAGTACTAAACATTATAAGCCTGTAATTTCTTCTAATTCATACATAATCGCAAATCTCTATGTATTACCAAATTTTCTGTTAGTACTAAACATTATAAGCAATTAATTTCTTCTAATTCATATATAATCGCAAATCTCTATGTATTACCAAATTTTCTGTTAGTACTAAACATTATAAGCCTGTAATTTCTTCTAATTCATACATAATCGCAAATCTCTATGTATTACCAAATTTTCTGTTAGTACTAAACATTATACGCCTGTAATTTCTTCTAATTCATACATAATCGCAAATCTCTATGTATTACCAAATTTTCTGTTAGTACTAAACATTATACGCCTGTAATTTCTTCTAATTCATACATAATCGCAAATCTCTATGTATTACCAAATTTTCTGTTAGTACTAAACATTATACGCCTGTAATTTCTTCTAATTCATACATAATCGCAAATCTCTATGTATTACCAAATTTTCTGTTAGTACTAAACATTATACGCCTGTAATTTCTTCTAATTCATACATAATCGCAAATCTCTATGTATTAGCAAATTTTCTGTTAGTACTAAACCTTATAAGCCTGTAATTTCTTCTAATTCATACATAATCGCAAATCTCTATGTATTACCAAATTTTCTGTTAGTACTAAACATTATACGCCTGTAATTTCTTTTAATTCATACATAATCGCAAATCTCTATGTATTACCAAATTTTCTGTTAGTACTAAACATTATAAGCCTGTAATTTCTTCTAATTCATACATAATCGCAAATCTCTATGTATTACCAAATTTTCTGTTAGTACTAAACATTATAAGCCTGTAATTTCTTCTAATTCATACATAATCGCAAATCTCTATGTATTACCAAATTTTCTGTTAGTACTAAACATTATAAGCCTGTAATTTCTTCTAATTCATACATAATCGCAAATCTCTATGTATTACCAAATTTTCTGTTAGTACTAAACATTATAAGCCTGTAATTTCTTCTAATTCATACATAATCGCAAATCTCTATGTATTACCAAATTTTCTGTTAGTACTAAACATTATAAGCAATTAATTTCTTCTAATTCATATATAATCGCAAATCTCTATGTATTACCAAATTTTCTGTTAGTACTAAACATTATAAGCCTGTAATTTCTTCTAATTCATACATAATCGCAAATCTCTATGTATTACCAAATTTTCTGTTAGTACTAAACATTATAAGCAATTAATTTCTTCTAATTCATATATAATCGCAAATCTCTATGTATTACCAAATTTTCTGTTAGTACTAAACATTATAAGCCTGTAATTTCTTCTAATTCATACATAATCGCAAATCTCTATGTATTACCAAATTTTCTGTTAGTACTAAACATTATACGCCTGTAATTTCTTCTAATTCATACATAATCGCAAATCTCTATGTATTACCAAATTTTCTGTTAGTACTAAACATTATACGCCTGTAATTTCTTCTAATTCATACATAATCGCAAATCTCTATGTATTAGCAAATTTTCTGTTAGTACTAAACCTTATAAGCCTGTAATTTCTTCTAATTCATACATAATCGCAAATCTCTATGTATTACCAAATTTTCTGTTAGTACTAAACATTATACGCCTGTAATTTCTTTTAATTCATACATAATCGCAAATCTCTATGTATTACCAAATTTTCTGTTAGTACTAAACATTATAAGCCTGTAATTTCTTCTAATTCATACATAATCGCAAATCTCTATGTATTACCAAATTTTCTGTTAGTACTAAACATTATACGCCTGTAATTTCTTCTAATTCATACATAATCGCAAATCTCTATGTATTACCAAATTTTCTGTTAGTACTAAACATTATACGCCTGTAATTTCTTCTAATTCATACATAATCGCAAATCTCTATGTATTAGCAAATTTTCTGTTAGTACTAAACCTTATAAGCCTGTAATTTCTTCTAATTCATACATAATCGCAAATCTCTATGTATTACCAAATTTTCTGTTAGTACTAAACATTATACGCCTGTAATTTCTTCTAATTCATACATAATCGCAAATCTCTATGTATTACCAAATTTTCTGTTAGTACTAAACATTATAAGCCTGTAATTTCTTCTAATTCATACATAATCGCAAATCTCTATGTATTACCAAATTTTCTGTTAGTACTAAACATTATAAGCCTGTAATTTCTTCTAATTCATACATAATCGCAAATCTCTATGTATTACCAAATTTTCTGTTAGTACTAAACATTATACGCCTGTAATTTCTTCTAATTCATACATAATCGCAAATCTCTATGTATTACCAAATTTTCTGTTAGTACTAAACATTATACGCCTGTAATTTCTTCTAATTCATACATAATCGCAAATCTCTATGTATTACCAAATTTTCTGTTAGTACTAAACATTATAAGCCTGTAATTTCTTCTAATTCATACATAATCGCAAATCTCTATGTATTACCAAATTTTCTGTTAGTACTAAACATTATAAGCCTGTAATTTCTTCTAATTCATACATAATCGCAAATCTCTATGTATTACCAAATTTTCTGTTAGTACTAAACATTATACGCCTGTAATTTCTTCTAATTCATACATAATCGCAAATCTCTATGTATTACCAAATTTTCTGTTAGTACTAAACATTATACGCCTGTAATTTCTTCTAATTCATACATAATCGCAAATCTCTATGTATTACCAAATTTTCTGTTAGTACTAAACATTATACGCCTGTAATTTCTTCTAATTCATACATAATCGCAAATCTCTATGTATTACCAAATTTTCTGTTAGTACTAAACATTATACGCCTGTAATTTCTTCTAATTCATACATAATCGCAAATCTCTATGTATTACCAAATTTTCTGTTAGTACTAAACATTATACGCCTGTAATTTCTTCTAATTCATACATAATCGCAAATCTCTATGTATTACCAAATTTTCTGTTAGTACTAAACATTATACGCCTGTAATTTCTTCTAATTCATACATAATCGCAAATCTCTATGTATTACCAAATTTTCTGTTAGTACTAAACATTATACGCCTGTAATTTCTTCTAATTCATACATAATCGCAAATCTCTATGTATTACCAAATTTTCTGTTAGTACTAAACATTATAAGCCTGTAATTTCTTCTAATTCATACATAATCGCAAATCTCTATGTATTACCAAATTTTCTGTTAGTACTAAACATTATAAGCCTGTAATTTCTTCTAATTCATACATAATCGCAAATCTCTATGTATTACCAAATTTTCTGTTAGTACTAAACATTATAAGCCTGTAATTTCTTCTAATTCATACATAATCGCAAATCTCTATGTATTACCAAATTTTCTGTTAGTACTAAACATTATAAGCCTGTAATTTCTTCTAATTCATACATAATCGCAAATCTCTATGTATTACCAAATTTTCTGTTAGTACTAAACATTATACGCCTGTAATTTCTTCTAATTCATACATAATCGCAAATCTCTATGTATTACCAAATTTTCTGTTAGTACTAAACATTATACGCCTGTAATTTCTTCTAATTCATACATAATCGCAAATCTCTATGTATTACCAAATTTTCTGTTAGTACTAAACATTATACGCCTGTAATTTCTTCTAATTCATACATAATCGCAAATCTCTATGTATTACCAAATTTTCTGTTAGTACTAAACATTATACGCCTGTAATTTCTTCTAATTCATACATAATCGCAAATCTCTATGTATTACCAAATTTTCTGTTAGTACTAAACATTATACGCCTGTAATTTCTTCTAATTCATACATAATCGCAAATCTCTATGTATTACCAAATTTTCTGTTAGTACTAAACATTATACGCCTGTAATTTCTTCTAATTCATACATAATCGCAAATCTCTATGTATTACCAAATTTTCTGTTAGTACTAAACATTATACGCCTGTAATTTCTTCTAATTCATACATAATCGCAAATCTCTATGTATTACCAAATTTTCTGTTAGTACTAAACATTATACGCCTGTAATTTCTTCTAATTCATACATAATCGCAAATCTCTATGTATTACCAAATTTTCTGTTAGTACTAAACATTATACGCCTGTAATTTCTTCTAATTCATACATAATCGCAAATCTCTATGTATTACCAAATTTTCTGTTAGTACTAAACATTATACGCCTGTAATTTCTTCTAATTCATACATAATCGCAAATCTCTATGTATTACCAAATTTTCTGTTAGTACTAAACATTATACGCCTGTAATTTCTTCTAATTCATACATAATCGCAAATCTCTATGTATTACCAAATTTTCTGT